TTTGCCTGCGACAGAGAAGTTGCGGTTGCTGATCACTGACAGTGAAGGACAAGATTCCCTCTCTTGCGGCAGTTTATCGCCAGCTTATTGCGGAACAATAAGATATCGGGTACTGCAACTTACGTAATGGGCAAACTACCTTTCTGCCGGCCGTGTTGCCCAATGCAGTAGCGGATTCAAAGATGGATGGCGGTTTCTTTCCCTTGCTTCAATAACCACAGGAATAACCTCCACAGTTGAAGGACAGACATATCGCAACCCCTCATCGATGGAACGTTACAGGAGCATGTATTCAAAGGCCATTTGCGCTCAAAGGCTTAAGTCGGGGAGAGGGTCCATATATGGAAATGGGCGTCTTCCCTTGCTCTTGCTGCTGGACATGACATTTGTTCAAGCAAAGCAGCCCATATGGAACAATAGCAGTTCCGCATCATCCGTAGCATCAAATGAATCCATGGATTTAAGGCAACTGTTTTATGTAGCGAGTCCAAAGGACACAAGTTCATCGGCTTCCGTTCCGGGCGACGAGACCTTGGCCACGCCGATCCCCGATGACCTGAGAGAGTCCCTACGCAGTCATTCCTTGTTCATCAGAACGCAAAATGAAACGTTTATCGAACATGTGGCCCGGCGCATGCGGTTACGGCAGTACGGCACCGGAGATGTGATCATTCGGCAAGGTGATCCGTCCAAGGCGCTCTTTCTCCTCCTTCGAGGGACGGTACGGGTATGCTCACAGGATGGTGAATCTGTGTATGCGGAGCTTGATCAAGGGAATTTTTTTGGCGAGATTGGTATCCTGTTTTCGGTCAAGAGGACTGCCAGTGTTATCGCCAAAACCAAGTGTCTTACCGCTACGTTCACCGCCGAGGATCTGCAATGTATCCTCCCAAATTACCCAGAGGTGGAAAAGATATTACGTTATGAGGCGGAGGAACGGTGGGCAATGCTACAAAAGAAACTTCACGGGGGAACACCCAGCGATGTTACTTCGAGCCATGACGATAGTTTGCTGATGGGGTCTTTGAATGATCTTGTCGTCAAGGTAAGCGCGCAGACAAGACTGATTGGCTCATCTGACCTGTTAATCCAGGTGCCGCTGTTTCAACATCTGCCGGAAGACTGTATTCACAAGCTCAGCGTCATGATCGAGCCTAGGTGTTATGCTCCACACCGGATGATTGTAGAGAAGGGCGAAACTGGGACAGAGATGTATTTTGTGACCAGTGGTATTGTGGAGGTCCTTGGCGAGAAGCAACCTTCAGCCAATGTTACACCTTTACCGTCCTCTCCGACAGGTGGTAGGAATATCACCATCTTATCGTCCTCCGATGCCGACAAGAAGCAATATGTCACTCTTGCAAAGGTGACCTCTGGGCAATACTTTGGTGAAATTGGCTGCTTTCTGGACATTCCCAGAGTTGCGTCCGCACGCGCCATCACCAATGTCGAAGTATTTGTTCTCTCCAGAGCGTCCTTGTGGAGCGTCATCGCCGAGTATCCGGAGATTGAAGAACACATTCGCGACAAAGCTTTTGAGCGATTGTTGAGTTGGGACAAGAGGGCAAAGCTTGGTGATTGGTCAAGCTACACCACGATTCCGTCAAAGTTTACTACCAACCGTCAAGTGGAGGGCAGATTGTCGCCCATGCAGATAGATGTGAAACGGCGGCGATCTCCGTCACCGAACCTTCCCGAGAGCGCTGAGCCGGAAGCGCTCATGTCCGGATCGCAGGAGGACACTCTATACGACATGGCACCACCCTCACCCGACTCCTCAATATCTCCACGCCCCACTGTTCTAACCGTCAAAAACACATGTCCTAGCGTCGACCCATATGCTCCACTAACGCCAACGAGTCCACCCAAGCAATCTTACTTGTCATCGTCCTTGTCACCACCCTCACCCTGCAGCTCCCTTGGCTCGCTCTCGCCAGCCGAGGAGACAGGTGCCGCCCAGTCCGGCGAACCAGTGTCCAAACTTGTGGGCTACGAAACGCGGAAAAGGAGATTAAGCGTGGCCGTTTGGTCTGATCCAGGACTCCTACAACAAGTGGCCAACATACAGCAAAAGGAAGGCCCGGCCATTTCACTACTGAGTAACCTGTCGCCGACGGGTATGCAATTTGAGAGCAAGCGTCATTTCAAAACTGATACTGAAGAAGGCTTACAAGTGCCTGGCAAAGGCGTGCCGCGCATCCTTGATTTGGACGTGGAAATCATGGCGCGTATATGGAAGCATGTGGATGATATCGCACAGGTGATTACCTGCCGAGCCGTCTGCGATAAATGGAATTCTTGGCTGGTAGCCTCGTCCAAAATAAGCGATTCCGGTCTATTTGAAAAGGTCGATCTCAGCCGTTGGAACCATGGTCTGAATGATGAAACGTTTGCGCCATTGGCAATCATTCTCGGAGACCGTGTCAAGGAGCTCAATCTCCACAATTGCTTCCATCTCACCGGCGCCAGTATCAAGATCATAGCGCGTGGGAATTTAAACATCACATCGCTCAATCTCAGCAGTTGTTGGGAGATTACCGATGACGCCCTAGCGTCATTGGCTGCCGGCTGTCCTTTTCTTGATTCACTTAATCTCGGCAACTGCCGCAAGATCACGGATAAAGGCATCTACAAACTCTTGTCTGGTCTCACCAGCCATGAAGGGCGCACAACAACTGATGGTTCCATCCCGACCGAATCGAGCACTCTAAGTGACCTATGCCTATCCTATTGCAAATCACTTTCGGATCAAACAATGCGATACCTGTTATTGTTTGCCTGTGACTCTCTGGAGACATTGAATATCCAACGTTGCACCTCAATCACCGACGATGGCTTCCTTCAATGGGCCTCCGATCGCGACACACCCAGTTTTCCCAACCTCAAACACATCAACCTCACCGACTGTACCTTTCTCACCGACGCCGCCGTTTCGGCTCTAGCAATAGCTGCACCCAATCTCGAAACCACCAACCTGACCTTTTGCTGTGCATTGACCGATCTCACTCTCGAAACATTGGCTTCCCAATTTCCCAACCTCAGAGAAGTAGACATGGCATTTTGCGGAACCGCCGTATCCGACTCATCGCTTGAACTATTAAGCGAAGGCATCGGCGCGCAATTAGAAGCGTTGAGCGTACGCGGATGTGTCGGGGTGACGGATGTGGGCGTGAAGGCGATCTTTCATGCAGCCGTCCCACATCATTTACGATACTTGAATATCAGCCAGTGTAACGGTGTCTCATCGGAATGCCGCATGTCCCTCGAGCACATCCATGACGAAGAACCCATGGAGTTGGGTCGTCCTGTAAATATTGTTTTGTAAAGCTTGCTTGTGCTTGTTTATACGCTGCACATGTACATGGATCCTTTAGCTAAATACAATACGAGTTGCGCACATGTGTATTAGGATCGACCAATATCGATGGATCGCTTATCTGTGACATCCGGGGCTCGCACCTCCTTGCTGTACATTTTGCGTCCACTCATCTCCAAGAATTCTACATCTTCGGGGCGGTCGAGGACCGATTTTCGCGTTCCAGTGTCCTCCACCTCGACCGGCCGCAATAACCAGACTATAAGGCGCACGCGTCAGGGCCATGGTTGGTAAAGGTCATGGTCACGGCCACCTCTTACCTTCCATCTCGTCCACTTGAAACTCTTGATGTCCAGACAGTTGCGGGCTGCCATATGTGGAACACAACGGTTCCGCTTTAGAATGGCCATGACCGTAATCGGGTGACAGGTAGAGACCGAAGTAATCGACTTGACCACCCATGCCCAAACCTGGACCACCATAAATACCTTATTGCATCGCCAAGCACGACTTACCATTGGCGAGACTCTTGCGACCATAGTTGAAGTACATGTAATTCACATTGATGCCTTGGGATCCATAGACCTTAAGTGGATCCAAGGAAAACAAGAACTCGCTGCCAGAGCCATAGAATTTGGGATCTGCGCGCCAAGGTTCATGGGCAAACCCGCCAAATACCTTGCCATCCTTATCCTTGATCACGATCAAGGTGGATCCCTTGTTTTCGATGCGATGCTGAAAGATTTGCCAGCTGTTGCCGTCTCTGTGGGACGAGTAGATGAGTGTATGCGGTGAACGAGTGGTGAGGCAATCGTGAGGAAGGTGTATGGTCAGGTAATAGTATTGAAGTGGAGTCAAGAGACGGGAGAAGGTGGTTGTGGTGCTTAAAATCTTGGGGGATGTAACGTGACTTTTACGAAATCGTTCTTGCGCTGTAGGTGGTAGTGAGAATGGGTCGAGAGTGAGAAAGAAGATTGTGATGAACGTGTCGACAAGTGTTTGAAAGGATGCGTTCTTTTTAAACCAGTCACTGAAAGTATCCGGCGAAAGACTTTTTATGTTTGTCGATGGATCCAGCAATCTTTTCCAGTCCTGGCTCTTCGCCGTGTCAGTTTGTAGGCCAAGAGCATCGTCAAGCGTGGATCGAGACAGTTTAATCGAGAGAAATCCGAGTGTCGCAACCTGCACATCTCCAATATCATGAATAGCCTTCGCTCCTGGAATATCGCTGCCTGCAAACCAAGCCGGTACCGTTATCGTCAAGAGCTCTTGCGTCAAGTCAAAAAGACTGATTTGGTTGACCTCCAACAGCGTTCGTAAAGCGTCCACTCTATCGTCCATGGTTCCTTTTCCCAACTTGAAGATACCAGCCGCGAAACCCTGCAGCGATATGGTCGAGCTCTGACCTGAGGCATGTCTGGTCGTCTCCTGAAAGTAGGCAGTCAGCCAACGGGCGACGAGGGCACTACCGGACAACCTTTGCTGTAAGGCCGCCTCAACGCGAGACAAGTCTGCAGTTGCCTTTTGACGGTCACTTTTAGCGCCCGAAGTGCAACTCGCCCAAAAGGTCATCAACTGCACTCGCTCCTCGTCTGAGAATGCTACTAGAGAGTCTGAGTGACGACTCGCTGCATTCCCCATGGCGAAGGAGAGACGGCAACGAAAAGGAAAAAGAACACATATGTTCCCCCACGGGGAATCGAACCCCGGTCGCGTCGGTGAGAGCGACGAATCATAGCCACTAGACCATGGAGGACTTGGTTAAAACTAAATTGGGCATATTTGATATCATGTCATTCTGGTTGCTTGGAACCCTAACCCTGATGCGTTTCGGGGGTCCATCGCCGTTGGAGATCTAGGGGCTTTGTCTGCATGTTTTTTTTTGCGTCCTCAGTATGCGAGCATTCAGGGCCACCCTGGACCCTTTGTGGATATGCAACATGTACCTTGAAAGACGTTGAGGTATATTTAACATGTTTGTATCCTTCTTCTGCCAGCTATTGTCGCCCAGTGCATAGTCTTTGCGATTGTTTTTATGCTCCAAACCAGGCATTCCCTTTTAGTCTTGTCTTCGTCATCCTTTCCATGTTTGAGAACCCTTTGGGTCATTGCGTGGAATGTTTTGTGCAATCATTAGCACCAAAGCTATTGTCTGTATCCAATAACGCCTGTGCCCATGGCAGATTGTGTCAACCATCCTCAAGTAGCATCCCCTCTTGCACTTGTCACTTGTCACTGCGCATAATCACACCATTTGACAAAATAATGAAAATGGCTGTGCGTTCTTCCAAATAGAAATTCATTCCTCCTTGGCATTCCCGAACGGCTTGAGCAATGTCCCATGTCGGGTGAACCACAAGGATCGTCGAGTGTGGCTCCTCGCATCACAAGGGCTCACAGAAGAGGTACAGGTGGTACAGCAGGGCTTTACGAAGAGGATCCTCCCGCGGACAATGCCGAGACATTGAAGCAATCCAAGGTTGTTCTGAGCTGTCTTCGTTGCCGAACGAAGAAGGCAAAGTAAGCGTCATGTCATTGGTTGGTTGGGCAACGATTGACTCTAGTCACGCTCTCAGGTGTAGTCACGAAATGCCTGCTTGCTCTCGCTGCGTCAAGGGAAATTACGACTGGTAAGTGTGAAACCGGAAAAGATCTCTTTGGCGCGATTGAGACTTACAGCCTTATTGTAGCATATACCCTACAGTTCCGCCGAAACTGAGTGAGCTTAGTACGTCCATTAATCTCGCGAAGGCAGCATTGACTACCTTGGAGGCGCGAATTGCCGCCATTGAAGCGCGCAACGCGACAAAACAGGGCTTAGACTCCAGTGAAGCCGATCAAGACAAAGTTCATAGCGCACACAGTAACCTTTCCGGTGGTACGCTGTTAGACAGTCAAGAGTCTACGCATAGCTCCTCTCGTCTCTCGTGCAATGGATCCTTGCAAGGTTTAGAGGGGGAACTCATGACAAATGATCCATATCACAGAGCGCGCCATCACTCTTCGCAACCATCTCTGCCTTCTGTTCATGTACACGATAGGGCAAGGAAATCGGCAGACCGATCTCATGAAACGTCTTCATCGGAGGGAGGCAAAATGACGGCAAACGATGCGACTGTATTCAAGATGCGAAGAGAAAAGCACGCTGGACTGACTTTACCTTGGGCTGTGCACAGCACTGGCAAGGGTCTGACCATTGAGACAAGTGTGCAAAACATGTCTGATCTCAGCTCAATCATTTACCAGCTACGAAATCAATTGCGCTCCAAACTAGACGTCCATGACAGTGATGGTGATGCCGACGCAACGGCGTTTGACGATGAAGAGAGCGCAAATTCGGGCAAGAGCTCGCTAATAGGAGACCTTCCGACGCAAGAACAATTAAAGTCCGAAATCGCTTCGTGCGTTGAATCCGACAATATCACCATGAATCCCGCCACATCACCGCATCAGTATTGGACCGATCACGATGTTCCTAACGACTCTCACAACTTGTCCATTACATCCATCATCACGGACATTCTCATCGACAGTTTCTTTAATCATCCCTGCTGCTATGCGCCATTACCAGTTTTGGACAAACCATCCTTTATATCTCGATACCACTCCAATGACGACCAAATTTGTCCGCACCAAATGTTAATATACGGCATTTGCGCACCTGCAGCTATTTACTCTGCTCGGAGGCATCCGACGTCATCACTTTTACCACAGGTTGACGATAGCAAGGCCTCGATCGAATTGGCAAATGCGTTTTACCACGCGGGCATTCAGCTATTGGACAACGCATTCGATGATTCTCACATTGACGTTATACTGAGCATCTTTTACTTGGGGTTCTTCCACAACAATATTCATTCTGCACCCTATGTCTGGACAGTACGCATGACGCTTGCCGTAAGAATGGCGTTTGATCTCAATCTGCACTCTGAAAGCAAATATGCCGAGAACTACCTCGATCCTGAAGCAAATATGCAGGCGCGACGACTCTTTTGGGCCATTTACGATCACTCACTTTGGGTGGCCATTTCAACGGGTGGCAAAAGCGTTATCCCCCGACATAGTGTGACTGTAGAGCTGCCATACCCGCGTCATCCCGTGGATATCATGCACTTTGATCCTGTCGACGATCAAGAGACAATCCTGAATCAAAAGGTTCGACTGACACGTCTTTTCTTTTACCATCATATCCGCCTCATGTGCATCTACGAGGATCTTCAAGCAGCGCGCTTGGAGCATGACGCATCGGCCAAGACGACCGAACAACTTCATTCCAGCTTGGACGAATGGTTCGAAGCATTGCCGGCATGTTTTCAGACAACTGATCGGAAAGACATGTCGCACTTTCATCTTACCTTAACGGTCTGGCTACACGTACATCATCATTTAGCCTTTGTGTGGCTTTACCAGCATTATTTGTTAGACACTAGCAACGAGAACCGGGATTTACATCAGCTGGCGCTGGCGACGGCGGTCTGGGCCGCACAAGGGATTGTGGGGAAGACAGCCAACCTTGTGCAGACCGGATCCGATTGCCACTATAGTATTCACGCTGTCATTTTCGCGAGCTGGGTGTTTGAGAAACTCATTCGTGGTATCCGTCAAGGCATTCTCCATGATGGCGATCTTGCTTCGCCTCCCCGATCTCCTGCTTGGAAAGATAGGGAGCGGAGCCGAACGAGCTCACCATCTCTTCGATCCCCATCCAATTCACCTTTCACACCACTCCGCCTCGATGCAAATCACTTCAAGAAGGTAGCCATCAAATCAATTCAAGCGAATATTTGGACTGTCGAGCATGCTCACTCTACCATGGACGGTTGGAGCCTCTATGTCAACTTTTTGCACATGTTACAGGATCGTGCAGACAAGCTGCTTAAAGGCGAAACATCCGACATTAGTCAGAGAGGATGGGATGCATGCTATACTGGCTTACAAGATATGGGAATTGCCTGATTGTACATATTTAAAGAGTGTTCTTTGTGTTCGTAAAGGCAACCAATCCCATTGTTTGGTTTCATTTCCTTTTTAGTCCATCACGCCATGCTTGTGCGCGGGGGAGAAGCGGTGTCGCAATTATGGCGCGAGATTGTGGGAAGCTTTTGAAGGCTTGACTGGAAGCCATATATAAGCAGAACAATGAACACTGAAGGATCATCTCGACATGCCTGCTGAAGTGTTACCACAACAAGATCAATCATGGCGATTTTTCGACGTTCATGCCGAGAACGCACCGACGTCTGAAGCCTTTCCAGCCAAAATAGAGGGTCCTTCCGTTTGGTATGGACCTGACCTCGCAGCGAACCCCGATCGATGGCTGACGCGTTTCATGCCCGAGCAATTGGAGGAAATTGAAGGGGCCTTGAAGGTGTACAAGGCCAGTGGCGAACCGCTTATTAAAATCACCAGGGAGCTCTTTCCATTGCCGACGGTATCAAAGCTCTTGGGGGAGCATAAGGATGAGCTTTTGAATGGACAAGGTGTCACTTTGTTGCGTGGTTTGCCTATTCACAAGTACACGAGAGAGGATCAGATTGCCATCTTTATGGGACTTGGTTCCTATCTCGGTCACCGTATACCGCAAAACGGTAAAGGCCACGGTGAGTGTTCATGAGGTATTCAGCTCATCAATGGTTGATTCATATCATTCCTACAGTTCTAGGCCATGTCAAAGACCTCACCAATACACAATTCGAAGGCAAATATAATCCCGAGGATCCTACGACACGCATCTACGCCACGCGCAAAGCTCAGGTACGGCATGCAAACTCTTGTCCCCAAAATATGCGCTAACCACTCTTTTTAATAGCCTTTCCATGTGGATGGTACCGATATTGTCGGTTTGCTTTGCCTTCAAGTCGCACAGGAAGGAGGCGAAAGCTCCGTAATCTCGTCCCATACCGTGTACAACGAGCTCAATGCCACCCGACCCGATCTCGCCGACGAGCTCAAGAAAGCTTGGTTCTGGGACCGAAAGAATGAGCACCCGCCTGATCAACCTGGCTATATCCAAGCGCCAATTCTCGTCTACCACAAGGGCCATCTGATCACGTTCTTTAGTCCCCACTTTCTCGAGACCATCGATCGGTTCCCAGAGTTGCCTCCCTTGACCGATAAGCAGCGGGAGGCGCTCAAGTATATGCAAGATCTGGCGAAGAAACATGCTCTCAACATGTGGTTAGAGCCCGGTGACATTCAATGGGTCCATAACCACCAGATCCTTCATGCCCGAGGCGAGTATACGGACAGTGAAGCCAAACGGCGTCATCTGTTGCGATTGTGGTTGCGTGTGGATGAGGGTGGATGGGAAAAACCATTTGGCGACAAGAATAGCAAAATCACTACTGATTACAACAAGCTATCTGCTGATAGGGTTCCGTTGGAAGCTGAATGACAGCGTGATGGCAAATCACAGTCTATTTGAAATGAAAGGAAAACCATGAATCAGTCCCTATATTGGTCTGTTGGTTTCAGTCTTATTTGTCTTTTGTGTCAAAGGTCCTCCTACCAATAACGCCGTCTTGTTGCAAAGCCGCGATCTTATCCGCGGACATGCCCAACACATTGGAGAGAACCTCGTGCGTATGCGTTCCCAAATCCGGCGCAGGCCACATGGTCTCTCCAGGGGTATCGGTGAGCATTGGACTCATACCGGGCATCTTGAGCTTATATTCCACACCATTGGCCTTCTTGACATCGATTTCCTCGACCATTCCGCGTGCTTGAGTATGTTCATCTTCCACAATGTCCTTGGCA